GGGAGACTTACCTCTATACGGCCTGACCAAACACAAAATTAAAGAGAACCTGTGCTTTGGGCCTCTCACTCTTCACACCAAAGCTCATCAGAACAGGAGGCTGTCAAGAGACTTAAAAAGAACTATGGGGTCAGGGTTTTCCCTCATAGTTCTCCCGTCACCCAAAGCTCAGTATACAGTGAGCTACAGCTCGCAGTATACCGAGACCGCCGCAGCCGGGACGGAACCCGACATTACTGTCGAGATCCGCCCAGCTGCGTGAGTGACAGCTGGCTCTGCCTATCTAGAGGCAGAGCCAGCTGTACCCGCCCCCCAACCCCATCCATTCCATCAGTCATCGCTGGAGGATCGGGGAGGGGTAATCCCTACAGGGAGCCGTGAGTGACAGTCACCTCTCTCTGCAGGGATAGATCAAGAAGTGAGCGAGCGACGGTATGCGTTCGCTCACTTCCCGATCTATTGAGCCGACCTGTAACAGTTTCATTGTCACAGGTCGGCTCGAATTAGGAGGTTGAGTGAAAATCACTCCCCTCATAGTTCTCCTTTAATTATTCAGGTCTACAAGGCAAAGGCAACAACTGAGGGCTTTACTATCTACAAAATCATCTGCTGCCATTTCCCAAATGCGATCATGGACAGGGCAAACCATAAGGGAAAGACAAGACAGCAAGGACAGAGAACAGTGCGTCATTCCTCCTGCAGTCTGAACTCTCTCCACCAGGGGGAGCAATTCAGATCAACAGGCAGCCGCAATGCTAAGCGGAGAGCAAAGGGTTACTGCTGGCCTTCACCTGGTTAGAAGACACTTTCTGCAAAATTGGTAGCTTTTCAATCTGATTGGTTCATACGTATAACAAAATATCCCCACTGTAGCCTCCAGTATTAGGGGACCCAGCCCCAGGCACTTTGTCATTGACTTACATTGATGTTGCTGTTGAGCATGGCCTCGAAGTCCTCCGGGCTGATCTTGGGGACGTGGTTGACAAGGTCCATCAGGTACCGTCCCACCGTGTTGTCCGCTGTGATTTTACCAGACTGGAAAATCAAAACGCAATTGGGTGAGTGCCAAGGAAAATACGGGATTGGAAAGAACGACTTCGACAGTGAGGGGTAGAGACCCATAAAGGGCCGGTCCACCGGAACCGACTGTATAGAGACTGCTGAAGAATGGAGGAAAGAAGTGCCACCTGCTCCGTGCTCCCTACTTCAGCCCCCTGAAAATCTCTGTGACGTGAAAGAGTGCCTACTACCCCCAGCAGCAAATCACCCGACCCAATCTCTGTCACATGGTAGCAGGGTAATGGCACATTAAGGAACCCAGTACCAGACTTATGTAGCACTAGCTCCCCAGCACTAGCCCCGCCCGCGCTCCCCGTCACTAGCTTCGCCCCGCCCGCTCCCTCGCACTCCCTCCCTCGCCGGCACTCCCTCCCTCACCCGCTCCTTCACTCCCTCGCACTCGCCGCCACTCGCTCCCTCGCACTCGCCGCCACTCGCTCCCTCTCCCAGGTCCCCCCCACACTCACCAGCACATCCTCAGCATACTGCAGCACAGTGGCCAGAGAATCCATCAGGCGGCTGGCTGCCGATCCCACTTGCTGAAGGTCGCTGGTCAGGCTGATGGAGCGGTTGGGGTTAAAGCAAGTCTTGGTGATCAGATCGACTGAAATGAAACAAAAAAAAAAAAAGTCAGTTTTTCACCATTACGTAAAAATTTCCCAAATCAGATTTTTTTTATGCATCGCACCCCAAATCTTATTACATCATAAACATGTCCGTGTCCCCTCCCATTGGATTGCAGCTATTTCCTGTTTTATCGCTTCCTTTTCCCTGCTGTTGCGATCTAACCGCGCCAAGCGCAGAAGCAGATCGGTGTCAGTGTCCCTCAGCTCGCAGGATGTCACGCCGGTGCGCATTGTTCCTGTAGTCAGCTCTGCCTCTGCACCCACCGACCCAGCCCTGGTCACTATAGACAAGCAATGCATTCCCCTGGTGACATCATACAGCTCCCTATCCATGGAGGAAGTAGATGATCCTCCTCCTAACTCTAGACTCCCCCCCCAGCCCTGGAAGATTGACTCGCTAGTGGTCATGTGATCACTTTATAATAAAGAATTCACAAGGCACTCTGAGGTATCTTTAAGCTCGATCCATATGTGTATTGCTGGTACAGCTCCCTTGCGTGCCCTGTAGAGATGCCGGGAGCCAGAATGTGATATCACTCCGGTCCAGGCACCTCTATAGGACATGCGAGGGAGCTGTAAGCAATGCACATATGGATGGAGCTCCCTCACGGCCATAGCCCAAGCCCACCCCACCTCAAGCTGACACTCGGCGCCGGGCAGCATATTTTGAATGGCTGCTTGGTGCAAGAACTGACAGTGCTGCAAACGGGGGAGGAGCAGTGGAAGGCACACGGCGACCCACTGAACATGGGGTCGCGACCCACCAGTTGAGAACCAAGGGTTTATAGAGCATCAACTGGTTTGGGATTATGAGCATTCACATGCTCTTTAAGCCAGGGGCGAGCGACCTTGGAACTCCAGCTGTTATGGAACTACAAGTCCCATGAGGCATTGCAAAGCCGATAGCCCCATACATGACAAGATTTGTAGTTTCCAACAGCTGGAAGGCCGAGGTTGCCTACTTCAAAATGTAAACTGGAAGTTATTCTGCCACAACAGGCTGCAGTACCCAAAAACAGGGGGAGGTCTTCCAGGGATGAAGGATTGCTGGAAGTAGTGGTTACTGCACAGAGCGGGACCAGCGTATGCATATAAAAAAATATAATCTTTATTGATTTGCAAAAATATGACACCATCAGTTTACTTCTATATATATTTTTACAAATCAATAAAGATGATATTTTTTTATATGCATACGCTGGTCCCGCTCTGTGCAGTAACCACTACTTCCAGCGATCCTTCATCCCTGGAAGACCTCCCCCTTTTTATCATATGCTAATTTTGGTTACAAGACCTAGAGGACTGGCTTAAATTATATATAAAAGGGATTTATTTAGTGGTATCGGATCTCCAGAAAATAAAACATTTTCTTGGTAGTACCCCAAAACAGCCACAAGATGGCGCTGTGTTCCACTTCCCGATCTTACCATAATAATGGCGCAAAGTGTCATCGGGGACCAATTTCTATTACTTGTACCATAGATTGTCCAATCCAGATTGGTGACCCCTGGACAAAGCTGGAGGATGACCCATAAGCATAAAAGGCTCCGGGGGGGAGAGGGGGGGCAATGGTACACTTGTGTGCTTTATAGGGGAAGTCTAAGAGCTGTGTGAAGGGGAGAAAGAGGACGCCGCCTTACCTCCGATCCGCTCTGTGTCATAGTAGATGTATTGTACTGTGAGGGGGGTGAACATCACTCCCATCGTTTTACCGGGAAACAGTCGGCATCGGGTGGAGTGGGCGGAGACAAGTCCCGACATTGGGCAGAGGGCAAGGATGGAAGATGACCATGAATGTACAGGGAGACCAGGGTGACCCCCCCCTACCTGATGTACGCTTTGATGTTCATGCGGTTGCCTTGCATGCTGGTGTCCACGGTCAGGTGAATGGGATTGTTGGCCTCCCGGCTGTAATACTCGTGGATGAGTACGGAATGCTCCGTGATGTCATCACCTGTGGCGTACCTGCAGGGAGGAAG